GAATAATAAAAGTTATTTTTGAAATTTACATTTTATTTGTAGAATTAAAATATGGACCAACTCAACAGAATTAAAAAAGTACAGAATCAAATGTATAGATAGGCATACAATTAAATTCACAAAATAGATAGAAAATAGACATAAAAATATATATTTCTTTTAATTTCCATTTTTATTTACTTACTCTTATAATAATTTGCTTATCTATTTAGAATCCTTGTTTTATTTTTTGCATTTCTTATTTTTTCAAATGTTTTTGTTTCCGTGTGTGCTTTGATATTTAAATCCACTGAATTTTTCCTTTGTATTTTCCAACGTCTCTTCTTCTCTTATTGATTTCTTCGTGTCCTTTCTACATTTCTGTATGCATTTCTACATACTGCACATGAAGCAGAAACAGAGGGGGTTGTCTTCCTATTGGTGATTAGGCTGCATGGAATCTACAAGCTACCAGACCTGCCTGTAGAGGCCTAGATACACTGGCTGGCTGAAATTTCGGGCCAATACTAGTTCATATTATAAGGCTATCAGTTATCACAAAGCTGAGGCACTTGACAACTTTATTGAAAACGGTGTTGTAATTCCTGACACCATTTGTCCTGCGGCTGCTCAGACAGAACATACTTTTCAGTTAGGTGCACACATGGACACAGATGTTCAGTTGGCTGCCTAACCAGTTATCCTAGAGTCCCCTACAGAAATTAAAGCCGCTGCGTGTGAAGCATGCATTTAGCTGGAGTAACAAATCCAGTCTCCTTTCTCATTTCCAAACCTCTTGATGTAGAAAATCAGATGTTTGACTTTTGTTATAAAGTGAAAGAAGGGGCCGTTACCCATTAGTTTAATAAACGGGTTAAAAGGGAAAATGCCACTTTTTTGTGCTACAGTTGTCAGTGATTATTTCAACATGCAGAGAATGTTTGCCTAATATGAAGAATAATCTCAGCTTTTTAACTCAATTGCACAAACATAAACGCTAAGTATACCATGTTCTCAACAGGTAAATGGCAGTGTGTTCATTTCCAGATTACTAGAGTACTATTTGCTCTGATTATTGCTCATCTCTTGAAAATTAAACCTGCCACACTTTCAGAATACATTTAAAATTTATATTTTAAAGTGATGTAAAGCAGGCATCCCCAAACTCTGTCCTCAAGGCCCCCTGTCCTGCAGGTTTTAGAGGTTTCCTTGCTCCAGCATAGCTGATTTTAATTGAAAGCTGATTAACAGGCTTTTGGTGTACTGCAATCATTATAACCAGCTGTGCTGAAGCAGAGAAACCTCTAAAACCTGGGGGACCGAGTTTGGGGATGCCTGATGTAAAGCATATGATTATAGCATACTGTAATATTGTAATCATAGCCATATTTTAAAAATGGTTTCCCTTGGGCGAACCAACACCACTCCTGTGTTGACAGGGTGGACCGCTCCTGTCTGTCTTGAGATGAAACTGGCTGGTGTATGAAGTGTTCTGGTGGCTACAGTGTGCTGCGTTGCTCTGACTAGTAAAGGAAAACTAAAGACGATGGTCCAGTGTGGCCAACTTTGTTGGAATTTGTTGCTAAATTTGGGGACTTTTCAGGCCCCTCTAACAAGTTTTTTTTTTATTTTCTCTTACTAAAGATTACAGACAAATGTTGTAAGCTTTTTGTTGATTTTTGGCAACTTTATTGACCTCATGCTGTTGTGTATGCATGCGCAAAGTTTACAATGATTTCTCCCTGCATTACAGAGCAGGATGAATATATAATATAAATCGTTTTTTATCTAGCCTCTGTTGCATTAAAATATTCAAATGTTTTCCACACAGATTGAAACACTTTTTCTCCTCGTAACGTCTCACTGCCTCTGATTGCTGTAATGTTGGAGGAATTAGATGTATGCACTCTGGATAAAAAATAATATATTACTTACTGCATATGTTGCATTTCAATTAGATTTTAACATCAGTGTCATAGTTTAGTATTATAGTTTTGTTTCAGATACACACAGCCAGAATTGCCCATAATTCTTCAGCGCTTTTCTGCAAGCATAACAAGTTAGCAGAAATGCTGCAATGAATTGAAGAGTCTACTTGATAGCACACACAGATACTTTAGGCAACACCGGCAGAAATCGTTCATTGGAGAGTTTCTTTTATAGCTTGTCATATTTCAATAACTACAAAATTACAAAAACAGAGCGCGTCACATTGTATCAGACTGGCTGGCCAGGCTAGGTACTATAAATACCTTGTCATGGTATTGTGTAGGGCAAAATGAAGAGGAATGTGATTCCTGTATCTTAAAACTGAAATCATATACATCTAGATTTTGTTCTGTATCCTTTTTTGACTTGTTCATCTGCGTGTGGAATAAAAATCATCTTGCTGACTTTGGTGTTTCACCTCTAATCATCTACATTTTAAACCTGGATCTGTGAATGTCCGTTTTATAGCCAGAAGTAATAAAGCTGGGGGGCTTTTTTGTTTTCTTTTATTGGACAGCGGGCTTTAATTTCCACTGCATATTTTGAAAGATAAGTTGACTGATGAAGGAGTTGTTTCTTGGCCCATGCTTCCACCATGGACCTATAACAATTGACTCGGTTGGTGGGTCTGATTGAAACTGGCATAAATATAGGCATTTTTGCTGTTAGCACACAGTCAGAAATAAATAGTTTAGTACAATCTTTCTTTATATTTAACATCCCTTGTCCTGTTTTATCTCTGTGTTGCTTTACCTAGAAATAAAGCTGTGACTGATCCACATAATTTGAAAACAGCCCAACCTTTAGCTAATATCAGCTTGCTGACACATGAACCATTCTACTTCCCTCTTTGTTTAAGTGAAAGCACATTTTCTTCCTGTCTCTTATTCTTTTAAGTTATTGCCTTGTGTATCTGGGAGTAATATGCATAACTCATATTGTTCAGACACAGACATCCATGCTTATTTCCCTCCTGATCATCTGCAGACAAACAGGCGCGTATAAAAGAAACAGGCTAGCCAATGTTCATGTACAATAAGCAACCAGAGTGCTACACACAGCTGCTGACAGGAGGTGTATTGATGACACAGGATCACTGAGGGAAGAGCTAATAAACGGATAGCAGCTGTCACTGACAGTGAGATGGAGATAACATGAAGGAGAGGCGGGGAGGGAGACTTTCAGCTGAGAGAGAGATCAAGATGTGGGCTGATTCCAGTGATGGAAAGATAAAGAGTAAAAAAATGGCTGAGAGAGAAAAGAGAGTGGGAGGAGATGCATGTTAGCAGGGAGGGAAGAGAGTTGTCATTGATCAACAGACAGAGGCCATCATTCCTGCTCAGTGCACACAGGAACGCTTCAGGGCATAGAAGGGAGGGAAGGAAGGGAAGTGGAAGTAAAGGGTGAAAGAGAAGATGGACAAAATGTGATAATCTGAAGGTTTACATTTGGGTTCAGCTTTAGTTTCATGTCAAGGTTTATGTGCTACTGTATATTACTGCTCACCTGCTTTGTTGTGTGGTTTTCTCTGTCTACTTTGCTTCTTTTTAATGTCTGTTTGCCTTATTTCTTTGTGTCTTTTATCAATTCACCTAAAAGGTGTTTATTTTGTTTAAATTTGTTTTATAATTTTTTTAGGTCCATTCAAATGTCTTAATCTTATCTTTGCACAGCACACACCCACTACACTCATCTGTGCTCTCTAAATAAGCCCATTCATTTCTTAATTTGAGTTTAATTTGTGCAGAATACTGAGAAATAGTCAGTATTTCACCTGTGTTCCCCAGCGGTCAAACTTTGTGAAAAAAAAAAAAAAGATATTACTTTGCATGTAGAATGCTGTTTATGCAAATGTTATTTTCTTATAAGCATGACATTCGTTTCTTGAAGGATAATCAATTGGCAATGCATCAAACTTCAATGAAATGTGGGACTTAGCAGTAGTAGAGAGGATTTAAGAGTGGACCCCTCATACTAACTTAAATTAAGCACATTTGAAAAGTTTCACTTCAGATCTTTGCTGTTATAATGAAATAATCTAAACTCAAATTAATTTACTTGTGTGGGAGCACCTTATAAAACAAATGTCTTCTTAATTGTTCAATATTGCAAAAACTTGTTAAAACATCCCTTATAACACCAGTAGATTCTAAGGAAATCAAAGCATAGGGAGACAAAGTAAGTTCTACAATAATGGGGCTTAAATATGAGACAACTAAAAAATAATGTAAATCCAAAATCATCAAGCAAGCGTTTTACCATGAACAGACTACACTCCTATTCTGGAAAAGAGCATGTGTGAGAATTCAGAGTTCACAGCAAGCAGCCTGTGTTTATCTGCTGTGTGAACGTGTGAGGAAATGTGCCGCAAGCAGATGCCAAAGAGCAGGGAGTGAAAAGGGGACAGAATCAGAAAAGGAGGAAAAAAATGTTGTTCTTCCTAAGCATTGTGTGTTGTCCGGAAGAAGAAGAAAAAAACCCTAATTTTTGTGCCCGTCTGGCAGCTCTGTTTAATTGTTACCGCTCACAGCTGCAGATGGAGGGATGGCAGACAGAAGGGAGGGATTGAGTGACACAAAAATCCTAAAGCTAAAACGGAGTTGGCAGAGGGGAAGAAGCTGAACACCATAAAGGAATGGAAGGAGACAGATTCCAGGCACTAAGAGAGGGGTAAAGTCAGGAAGGACGAAAGATAGAGACAGTTGGACTGGTTGAGTCATTCTTATGATGTCAGATCTTGTAAGAAGCCTTTTCACCAGGCTGTGGCGACACGCTCGAACTGGCAGCGATCCGCATCACCATGCTAAAATCTTTCCTTTCTCAGCGTACATGTGCAGCCATGAAGCTCTGAATGCTGGCAGCGAGAGCACAGGCCAAACAGAGAAACTCAGCGGCACAGCTGATTTTCTGCTCCATGTGATTGTAACATATTCCAGCATGAGAAATATCGTGGAAAAAGAAAACGCTGGGAGACACACAGATGGGTGCTACTTTCTTCCATGAGGATAATGATGGCTTCCCTCTCTTTGCAGTCGGCCTCGGGGCAGACACAGAGGAGCGGCTGGTGGAGCATCTCCTAAATCCAGCGCATTACAACAAGCTGATCCGACCTGCCACTAATGGTTCTGAGCTGGTTACCGTGCAGCTTATGGTGTCACTGGCCCAACTTATCAGTGTGGTAAGTATCAATGCTTACGTTTTATCAATCTACAACTACAAATAAAATTATCTTCATTTCATGACAGACTAACACAGTCAAACAAACAAACAGGGCTAATGATGATTTAGAACATTTTAAAAGCTGAACAGTGTGGTGCGCTTTTGTATTTAGCCTTAAGGTGTTCCAACAGATGACACTGCATTGATATAAACTAGAGCTGAAAAAATTTATCAGATTAATAATGATTAATTGATTATTAAATAATTTCATAATCAATTCATTGTTAACTGTAGTATAGAGACTATAAAACATTCCTTTACCTCACAGGAAAAAAGCTTTGAGCAGTAATCATACCAAGATTGTAAAAAAAAAAAAATTAATGGATTTGCAAAATAATCATTAGTCACACCCCTAATCTAAACCATTTTACTGCAGCTCTGGATTTATTGTCCCGTTAAAAAATGAACCTCCATGTTGGTTCTTAAAGCAACACTGTGTAGGTTGCAGGTCTAGTGCCCCTAGTGGCTTAAAGTAACACAGTGCTGCTTTAAGTTGTTTTGTTTTTTTTTCTCATTTTCTTTTTTTTTTACATTAATGGGATTAGTGGTTCAGACTAAGAAGTGTGATATCTGGTCAGCAATTACATTTTTCTTCCAGTGTTTGCTGAGTTCCTCAAAATGCTTTTGGCAAACTGCTACTGGCATATTGTATGGGGTTCACTTTCTTCTTGATACATTTTTATACAAGCCAGATTTGACTTGTGATGTTGCAGATTTCTTAAGCTGAAAGAAGCTGTGTTTCTCAGCTACTTCTCTAACTGAGGTATACATCCTTTCCCTTTCTGTAAAGACATTTGGTTACAAACAACTGCAATAATTATTGATTAACCTTTTCAGTGTTTCGAAGTAAATTACTCATTCATGCGGCTTGCAGAGCATTGTATTTCTCTATCATTTAAATTGAAGGAATAAACTTCAGAAAGAGTTAAAATGTTAAACAAAAGCACTTCAAAAGATTTTAAGAAAGTCTGGCTCATTGGAGGGAAAACTAATAAGAAAACTAAATTTGAACACTACTTTGACAACCCAATGAAAGAAGGGAAGAAAGCATGCCATTTTTATCTTTTTTTTTGGTCTGTTTTTCAGCATGAGAGAGAACAAGTGATGACCACAAATGTCTGGCTCACGCAGGTGAGATCTCACACACTTCATCACATCCAGGCACCTCACTAACCACACAAAGGCAGGGATGTTTTTGAAAAAACATTTGTAAAAAAGAAAAAGCTTAACCCATTTAAGGTCAAAATCAGGTCAGAACAGAACATGTGAAGAATGATGCTGGTGATTATTGGTCAATGTTGTTAAACAATGGTTTAACTTTTTTTTTTTTACAGCACAGAGTAATATTTATACATGATAGGATTTGGTACCACCTGGTCATCTTACTCATTTAGCAAATGCAGTGGGGCCAGATTAGAACAGATTCTATAAAATTCATAACTGCATAAGCTGTTAATGATCTACTAAATTGAAACCTTCTTTTTGAGGAGTAGAATAGTAGTAAAGTAATATTGAAGGTTATTAAAAAGTGGTCAGAGTGGATAGGGTTGTGAGGAAATACTGTTCTTCCTTTGCGCTCAATGCCATACATCAGCACAAGGTTCAAAGTATGAAGATGAGAATGTGTGAGACTAATCACATTGTGAATAAAGCCAATTGAGTCTAAGATAGCATTAAAGGATGCATTTAAGCTATAACCTTCAATGTCGGCATGAATCTTAAAATCCCCCACTTTGATGACCTGGTCAGTATTTAACACTATAGCACATAGGAATTGAAAACTGATCTAAAAATTTGGATGAGAGAAGCTAAGGATTAAATGTTCAAAAAAAGTTGTAACTCTAAACTGGCTTTGGAATAGTCAGTAAGTGGGACATTTGAGTGTAAAAAAACAGAAAACAGAAGGAGCAAAAAATACTTTTTCACTCTACTGTACTTTTAGAAAAGAATGGTAGATAGTTCATTTAGGTCATAGAACTGGAACACATATCTACATGATGTGGGATGTAAAAGCAGATCTGCTCTACGCTAAGAAGTACAGTACACATTGCAAGGATTTTGGTGCCGTTGGCTTTGCTGAGGGTAAAACAAACTTGACTTGGATGCAAAGCATTGTGACTGTCTGGATTTCCTAAAAGAGAGAGTACAAGACAAACATGCAGCAGTCTGTTTTAATGTTATTGATGTTTTTGTATACATTGATTGATTTCAGACAATCAGGCTGATATTATGTGGACTGAAAGTGGTTTTTGTTCCAAGAATGCTGGTCAAAATACTCTAATATTCTATATTTTGTTCAACTCTGTGCCTACAAGTTGCATTTTTTTGTACGTCTCCATCTACTTGTTTGTAGACATAAGACTTCTGCCTCATGATCATCATTTGAAAGTCTGTTGTGGTTATCAGTATAATCACACTTTTGTTCAAATGTGTCAGGGTGTGCTAAATGTATTATCGCAGGCTGAAATGAGTTCCTTTTACATGACCTCCGGGTGGGTCTTGTTGTAAACAAATCAAGAGGTCGTTTGAGCTTCACACCAAGCAAAGGTTTCATCTGCACCGCAGCCCGTTCAAGCACCGCAGGAAATCAGAGTCGCAGTCAGCTTCTCTGTTCACTCCAAACAGGAAGTTTGGATCAACTCTTCCCAAGTGGGAGAGTTGATCTTAAGCAGTGTGGAAAGAACATGATTTAGTGGAGATCAAAATAGAGGCAGAAGGTATGAGGACTCCAGATAAAAGTAGTGGTGGTATGGTGTTTTACTCAGAGTGGTTTAATCATGGCCTTTTTTCACAGAATAATAATTTAATACATTTTCTTTGAGAAGAAAAAAAAAATCACTGGATGGGCTAGAGTTTTATCCAGCAGTGTGAAACCTATTTGTTGCTGCACACTACTGGTTAGCTGGTCTAAACGAAGCTGTTACACATTTCTATCCATTAGCAGGAAAACAACATTTGCTGTTTGGGAATCTTAAAGGTATTGTGGGGGATTTTCGGAATTAATTTTTTTAAAGACCTGCCTTTTCCGTTTAAAAAAAAATGCACATGCACAACCTTGTGCCCGCTCCCAAGTGGGAACACCAATTAAACATGTGCGAGAGCACGCACGAGCCGATTTCTCATTGTGAACGATCTCTTTAAAAGTTGCTGTTCTGATAGCTCATACAAGCTTAATGTGTCCAAACGTCAGTCCTTAACCCTAAATCCCTCCATCACTATATAAAGCGGTGACTATATAGTGGACTTTATAGTGAACTCAGGTAACTGACTGTTCAGACAGATGATCACTACTTTTTGCTCCCAGTTGGTCGCATAACTCCTTCTCCACCGTGAGGTGCTTGCACCATCTTTATTGTTAGTAGCCGCTGTTGTACTCTGGAATATATGGACCTCTTCTGAGGCCTTTGTTTTCTTCTCATAATGACTGACTGAAACCGTAGATCACCACACATATAGTATGCCTGAGCAGCCGTGCAGAAAAAGATAGCTAACAGGACGAGCGCTTTCGACGGCCTTATGTAAACATATCACCAGAATGATTGACAATTAGGAGGACCACTTATTTAGATGATCCACCTGGAAATAAAAGATCATCCTCTATACCTTTAACAGTTGCAAAAAAATGAAGATGTTCCTGGTAGCGATAATTCAGACAAAAGGCTTAGTGTGACCTACATCTGTATTCTTTGATGTTGAAAGCATTTGTTAAATCAATTTTATAAAACACCCGCTGTTTCCAGTTTGTGCTCTCTCTCATAGTGAGAGACTCATAAACACTTGTAAGGCGAGTAAGCACAGATTTATGACTTGTAGCCAAGCGCAGAATGACTATGACTGCTGATACATTTCTCAGCATCAGAAAGCCAAGGACAGCCCAAACAAGTTAATGATTATAGTGTTTCACGGCTGCTGCAGACAATATAGCTTGGGCGCATGAAAACATCAATAACTGCAAAGAGAAAAGGGTCTTCTGCATAACGTAGCAGAGCTCATGTCTCTTCAAACGTATGCAATCTAATATACTTTAGGATGAAGATAAAGATTGAGAAGCTACACATAAACCATGGTTTATACACATCCTAACCACTGGCTAGATGAGTAAAAAATGTTTGTTCCCTGTTTCCCCTTGCTGCTGTGTGATTGGCAGATGAGTGACTAAGCATGATGTTTCTATTGGCCCTCAGGAGTGGCAGGACTATCGGCTGACTTGGGTCCCAGAGGAGTTTGATGGAATGATGAAGGTCAGGCTGCCCTCTAAACACATCTGGCTGCCGGACGTGGTCCTCTACAACAAGTGAGTCACTCTCTCATGCTCTTGAACTCGCTTAGAGGACATGAACTGACACATGAATGGCCTGGAAAATACCCAGTGAAGACATGTTCATTTTCATATAGAAAAAAAAAGCCGGTTGTCTGGTCAGGTCATCCAGCTGCTATCGATGTAAGACACTTAAACTCATTGCTTCAATTAAGCAGTCATTTTGAGTGGGTGATACTTTTAGGTTCACAACACATGACTGAGTACGTCAACTAGAATCTCTTCTTGTTGCTCATGCTACCATAGTACTGTACAGCCAGAGATGTCTGAGAGGATTAATCATCTTCGCTGCACACAGAGGTCCTGTAAAGGAGCAAACACAAAAAAAAATCATGTAAAAGTATTCACACTCCTTCAAACTTCTCACATATTTTCATGTTGTAACTGCAAATTTAAGGAAAGACATTTTTCTCTGCAACCACTAAATGAAATCCAGTGAACCCAGGCGCCTTCAAAGACCACCTGATTAGCAGAGTTAAGCTATGTGTATATTAAACTCAGCATACATACAGCTGTTGGGTGAAGGCCTTAGAGATTTCAAAGCGAATAACCAGTAGGAGGACACCAAAAGAGGCCAAGGTGAATGCAAGGAGAGCATCAATAAGACAAACAGCAAAGAGGCCTTTAGTTACCCTTGAGGAGCAGCAGCCATCCACAGCGCAGTGGAGAGGAACTGTTAGCAGGGCAACTATTAATTGTTCTTGCCACAAATCTAGATAGGTTTAAAACAAGGATAGAAGAAAGCTATTGTTGTGTGAGGGCCTTGAAAACATCTGTTTGCAGTTTAACAAAAACACTGAACCCTACCATAAATATGCCAAATATTCCTAAATATTACCAAATTTTGTTGTTTAATACTCTTTAAATAATACATCTTAACGTTATTCTGGAATTTCAGTCAAACCACTATCAAAGCCCCTAACTGGTAAATAAAGCTCAAGATGAGCTAAAATAACCTATCAAGAAAGGTTATTATATTTTTTTAAGCCTAAAATAAGCAAAAAGGTTGTTTTTTTATACCTTCATTAAATGTGTTTTTGTTGCGAAGGGACACATTTTTTTTATAGACGATAGTGTAAAAGTTAGACAACTTGAAAAAGCTACGTTTTTGTTCGAAATCTAACAGTGTACGGAATCACTCTGAGCACAATAGCACCAATGGCAGCAGATTTTATTTTCTTCAACTTTTCACTATGGCTCTAAATTGTCTAATGTTGATCATAAACTTGCAATGTGCTATAAAGGGTTTCATAAAGCCACGTTACAGAATGTAGTGCAGTGCACAAAGACAGTAAGAGAGTAAATTCTGACATCTCATGAGTTAATATCATATTTTCTAATATAAAGGAAGGAAAATCCAAACTTTTTTCCTGGTTTCTCTCCAATATATATTGGTAATGATTCATATTGTAGATCAGTACAGCAGAGCTACACAGCAGCAGATGAGGCAATCCTCTTCAGACGTCATTTATAATCACTCACATGTATAATCTGAGAGTTTTCTTTTACGTCTAAAGAAATTTAGGATGTAACAGGTAGCTCGTCTCATCAGCTCATCAGAGAACAGTGATCTGTGTGACCTTCTCTTCTTTCCTTGCTTCTGTCATTACTTTACAGATGAAAAGATCACCGACCCACCTCGCTCTGGATAAAGTGATCCTGATAATCCTGTGTACCTACAGGCCTGTGCGATAATCCCCAAATCTCAAACCCTGTTGCTTTCTTGAACAACGGGATGATTTTGTTTTGTATTGGACACATTATTTTATTTTGAAAGAAGGATTTCATTGGGTCAAGATCCGGTATATGTTTAAGTAAATATTTTTGTTAGTGACTTTTTTGGAGCAGAATCCACTTATCAATGAACTTTGTTTCCTGTTTAGGTCATGTGTTTACACAGCGCGGTTCCCCTTTCCCCATGTTTATAGGCAAATGTGTGTGTGACCTACTCACACTGGGAAAAAAATCCAATTTCAAATCAACACTCATTCCTGTACTGTAATTAATATTTAGATATAAAATCATAGATATATTGCACTGCTGTTTAGGAAGAATGTGGCCAGTCTGTGCCATCAAAAATGAAGAAAAGGTTCTTTTATAACGGGATGAAATGGGGTATTTATGAGTAAGCATTGGGTGGTGTATTAATATTATTTATAATGTGTATTCATGGTTTAACTTTCAATGCACTCAGTTACAGAATACAAATTTGACAACTGAACTGGAGCGTGAACAAGAGCTTAGCAAGAGTAAATAACTTACAAAAAACAAAACAAACTAAATTATATCTAAGGATAATACTGAAATAGAGAATCCAACCAAATTAATTGGTAAACAATGATAAACTTAGGTCATGATATTGGTTTGTTTTTGACCATTTGGATGAGAACCTTAACCACTTTTCCATCTCTATTTGATGTTAACGGTTTAACTCTGGTTATTCTAAAAGGCCTCATAATCGCTTTGTATTCCTGCCCAGCCTAGTAGACGTCAGTGACTTTTGTTCATGTCTGTTAAAAGATTTCTTTAAATCAAGGCACAATCTGCTGATCTTTCAGATCTTTTAATGTACTTCTTGTTGACAGTTTTTTTAAAGGGATGAATTGATTCTACAGACCTGACTGCTGCGAATGAAACTGAGCTGATAAAATACTTTCCCAAATCAGCACTTTGGTTCAACCATTGTTTTTAATGTACTTTATAAATGACCTGAAATCGTTATTAAACAATTTTACTATCAGGAGTTGGTTTGGATAGCTTTTGGAACCCTCCTTAACCTTAAATGTTAAACTTTATCTCAACTTTTGTAAGTTTTTACTGAAAAATATCTTACTATATCCTTTTAATTTGACCCTTAAGGTCTAAAACATACTTTGATAAGCAGACTGACAGTAGTTCAGCACTGACGTATCTACGGTATAAGCATGTAGCCTCTTTTTTTCCTGAATGTACTTCAGGTAGGAAGTTCCCACGCTGTTCTGCGGATGAGATATCAAGCGTTATCATGTTAAATGGGTCCAACCTAGTAAGCAATCTAAGCTTTATATTCATGATGGATTTGGTTGATACTCAGAAGCGACCAGCTGATAAAAGTACTAAAAAAACCTAGTTAAGTACGAGCGCGAGCTACAAGAACAAGCAGCTGCAGTTCTATGTTTTGGCCACATGTGGCAGTATCATTAGAAAACTCGGCAATGCCTGTTTAAGTTTAAAATTGCTTTAGTCTGGTATGGAAAAAGGGCTTTGGAATTATAATGGGGAATGTTGTGTCAGCATTAACTTCTACAACTGACAAAGCATATAAATCTGCTCATTCTATAGAAGAAAAGACAATATCCTAGTGTTGAACAACCCCATACGAGCCAGGCTAAAACCCTTACTATAGATTGACTAGTTGCCCTATTCCTTTAACTTGTAACAATATCCTCTCCCTCTTCCTCTGTCTCAGTGCGGATGGGGTCTACGAGGTGTCCTTCTACTCTAATGCAGTGGTGTCCTATGATGGCAGCATCTTCTGGTTACCTCCCGCCATCTATAAATCAGCCTGTAAGATTGAAGTAAAGCACTTCCCTTTTGACCAGCAGAACTGCACGCTGAGATTTCGCTCCTGGACCTATGACCGTACAGAAATAGATCTCGTGCTTCGTGCTGACGTGGCCAGCATGGACGACTTCACGCCTAGCGGAGAATGGGACATAATTGCTCTGCCAGGCCGACGAAATGAGAACCCAGCTGACCCCACCTATGTGGACATCACATACGACTTCATCATCCGCAGAAAGCCGCTGTTTTATACCATCAACCTCATCATACCCTGTGTGCTCATCACTTCCCTGGCCATCCTGGTGTTCTACCTGCCGTCAGACTGCGGAGAGAAAATGACGCTTTGTATCTCGGTGCTGCTGGCTCTCACTGTGTTCCTGCTGCTGATTTCAAAGATTGTACCACCAACCTCCCTAGACGTCCCTCTGGTGGGGAAATACCTGATGTTCACCATGGTTCTAGTCACTTTTTCCATAGTCACCAGTGTCTGTGTGCTCAACGTCCACCACCGCTCTCCTACCACGCACACCATGCCTCCCTGGGTCAAACTGGTGTTCCTCAACAAGCTCCCTGCCCTGCTCTTCATGCGACAGCCAAGGAACAGCAGTGAGCGCCAGCGGCTACGCCAGAGGAGGAGAGCACAGGAGCAAAAGGAAGGCGGGCGCAGCGGGGAGCCGGGGGCCCTGATGGTGGGTCTGGGACTTGGTGGTGGAGGTGGCAATGGAGGGGGAACCACCTCATCTGTTTTTGGGAAGGACGACGGGGACCCTTGCACGTGCTATGTGAACCGTGCGTCTGTTAAACAGTTTGGAGGTGAACTGGTGGGCGCTGGAGGGGGATCAATGGACGGTCTAAACAGAGTGAGAGATGGCCGGGAGGGTGGGTCTGGAAACCTGCCGAGGGGGAAGCAGGCAGCCGGAGGTCCTGCTTTGACTCAGGCCTTGCTGGCTCAAGCCTGTCCAGGATTTGATGAGGCAGTGGAAGGAGTTCGCTTCATCGCCAACCATATGAAGAGCGAAGATGATGATCAGAGCGTAAGTATTACTCGTGCATGGTGAGCACCATTTTTACAACTGCTTGTGGTTTTTAGAATATTAAAGCTTTTAACCCCCATAAAAAAAGGCCCCCACCCATAGCTGTATGTTGGAAGTGCATTGCATAAAAACATAGAGCAGCTATTTTCCTCAGATTTCCCTCTAGAAAAAAAATATGTTTGTTTAGACAATTCCTCTTTTATCTGAGTTTTGCATTTTACCTTTTATATAGACTGATTTTAAAAGACTTTGAAGTGATAAAGATATTAATTTAACAGATTGACCTGAGTTTAATACATACTAATGCTACACACAATTTGTGTGTGACCTTTAGACGGATGTTTTCTCTACTTTATTCATTTTAATAGATGAAAGCTTTGCTTGTGACATGATTTTCTATAAGCAACATTTACACTCAAATATATTTACATTTTAAAGAATTTTCTACCTTCTCTTTTCTTATCAATGCTACTATTATATGTTAAGGTTATTTGTGAAAGAAGCTACCAAAGCTAAATTTCTCTTTTCATTCATGTTTTTAAAAAATCTAAGTGAAACGAATGTCTGCTGAAGCTGATCAGGCTTTTATATTTAGCTTCAAAAGCATAATAACTTTACTGATTTCCTTCTCTCCTAAGTAAGCTGATTTTCTGATAAACATGCTGTTGGTGCCATGGAAGTGTACTCCAGCTAACTGCCAACACATGGCCTGTGATGACAGTTTTGGCGAAGGCTGTCAGCTTGCCTTTGTGTTACTTTGATTTAACACCTTATGTCTGTGTGTGGATGAGTCATCCTCTTCTATCCAAATACATTACCTGCCATTATTGTCTGTTGAGTAGCTCAGATAAGCTGCATATGGTTGTTTTGTGGCTACAACGCTCCGCTTTTGACTGTGTCTTCTGAAATGCGCGGGTTGGTGAAATAGAAACAGCAGCAGCAGCAGACAGATCTGATGATGCAGCCTCAGCCCAGAGACTATCCAGTGCGGTATGTAATAATAGCAGCAGCCTGACGTGTGCATAAAGAAGTGCAAATAGGCTGAGGCGCTGAGATGAAGGAGCAAGGTTTTATGTTTTTTTGACTGCCTCTCACCTGGAAACACCAAAAATAACATGAGCGGTTTGTTTCGTCACAGACATGATTTACTCCCAGCAGACAAGAAGAAGAACTTAAAATCCTCTCAGTTTTAGTGCAGTTTTTCAGTTCCATCCACCCCTGTGTCTCCCTTCTCTATTCCAGTCCTCAAGTTATCATCACAGGGTTCAAATGTCGGCGCCCTCTCTGTGTCCTCCATCTCCCCGGTCTCTTACCTTCCTCTCCTCCTCCTTGACTCCTGTTAGACCTCATTAGAGCTTTGTGCCAGAAAGAGTCTCCACTCACATTAACCATTCACCTCCATTAACCCTCTGCCTTACTATAGCAAAGAGAATGGATAGACAGAAGACAACAGAAGCCTGATTCTACTTACTCTATTATTTAAATCAAAATCTCTATTTTAGAAATTTTGGAAATGACATATAACAAAGCAAAAACACGCCTCAGAGGAGCAGTTGGGTTATTTGGTTCTCTGTTTCTATTTAAGTCTAGCAATTGCAGAGAAAAAAAATAAAAGATCTTTTTTCAATTGCTAATTGCCTAAGTCCTTCCATATTTATAAAACAAAAGAAAAAATAGGACTCCCGCTTTAAAAAAGAAAGATTTTCGGCTAACTGACATGAATTAGTTTTTTAAAAGCCTTTTAGCATTCCTGTCATTCCCTTGGAGGTATTATACTTTGATATTGCATTAAACATCCAGAAGATCTGTTTAAAACACAGGTTTGAAGGGAAGTTCAGCCTGTTATGTTGCACTCATATTTCATGGTCTGTGATACTTCTTCTAATAAAGAAAGTTAATTAAAAAAAAAATAATAAAAACACAGCTCCAAGGTCTGGGTCTATACATCTAAAGTTAAAAACACAGCTTATTATGTTTTGAGTTAAATTTCAGAATGCAAAGATTTACATGGCTCTGGATACCAACAGGCTAATAACTCTAGACAAGCTTCATAGATCCACAGAGTAGATAGTACTGGAGTATTTACTGCATACATGCAGATATCAAATTATTGCTGCCACCTTCCCAGTTTGGTATGATTTGGTCAACATAATTAGGAACCATGAAGCAGGTGCTTCAATGAATTGAAATGTAACACAGCAAAGTATCAGGACCCACAGGTGCTAATATGGCACTGGTGTCCAATAAGAAACAAACTTATGTAGGGTTGATATTCTTGATGAGTCTGAATGTGTATAAATCCCTATGAAATATGCTCGGGTTGCTCTTCTGATTCCTCCCAACATTGTCTGACCACAATGGAGTAATAGACAATGACCTAAGTCATGTTAACCATGTATTTATTTTCTTACAGCAGTAAAATACAGACTTTATGAATTGATATGAATACATTTGCTAAGTCTATGAGCAAAAAAATGACAGCATCTCCTACAATGGAGAGCAAAGAGCTCAAGGTAAACACTTTTTGGTGTTGCCTGAATAAAAAAAAAAATAAAAATAGAAAAAAAGGAGGGGCACATTTCTGTGTTGTGCAGGACTTAAGCTCTCAGAGCTGGTGCCAGTGTTGCATCCGCAGAAGCTGAGGGGGGATTCGGGGTCTAAATTAAGAGAGGTGGAGGAAAATTCCTCATACGTTGAGAGATTTAAGAATAAAGAAACAAACAACATATGTGTCCTTTAAAAGCATGATTGCAGGGTAAGAGACCAGCTGGGCATCCAGTGAGCTGTCTTACCGTCTTCATGCAGGAGACGGTTACATTGAATGTCATTGCTTGTTTAAAGTAAACTCACAACCGATGGGATAAATTACATAATAGAGGCTTAACGCCATAAAACAATCACTACTGAGGAATCCAGCGGCGCAGTGGCCAAATCAAGGTCACTCTCCTTTCCACTGCTTACAAGTTGGTGGGCGCTTAATGTATCCATTCACCTCAACCACTGTTTTAAACCACATCAATTTTAAGTCTACTTTCACCCTTTAGCAATCATCTAGTTAAAACCCCTTTAAGATTTTTTGCTCAAATGAATTGGTAGCTGAGCTAAGGAGATGAAAGCAGCCAGAAGCCACTTTGGTCAATCAATTGTTAAAGGAAAGCTATATCAACTCCTATTTACAGTTTCCCATAAGTCATATAAGGTAGATGACACCATGTTGAAGAGGATGATACATACGCTTGAGAAGTTGTAACCCCGGCCATCTCCCTGAACTCTCCAATACCGCACAGTGGTGGCAGCATAATGCTAAAAGAATGCATTTCTAGCAGGGGTCCAAGCTGGAAAGACTATATTTAGAAGTATGCTAAGAGAATTGGAACTGATAGAGGTTCAAACTCTAAACAATCAGCTAGAGCTACAGTGGAGTGGTTTAGATCGCTTTCGTGTTAGTGTGGCCTTGTCCAGACCTAATTTAAAATAAGAAACTGTGGACAGACTTGCTGTTTACAGGGACTCTCCATCCAATCCAACTGAGCTTGATAACAGTGGTAGAACATTGTGTTCTCTAGATGACTGAAGGTGATTGAAACAAACCAAAATTGATTTGCCTAGTCAAAGTGGATTACAAAACTTAAGATTTTCATATGCAAAAACATTTGAATCCTTAATCATGTCTCCTGCAACTCACAGTTATGCACTAAGATGAAGTTATAATAAAGAGCTGTTATGTGATGGTATGCAAAAAGGTCTAAAGGTAATGAATACCTTTGCAATTACAATGCTAAATTTACATTATAAAAAGGTCAAAGGTATTTTCTGGGCTTTTGCCGAAGGCTGTTGAGCTGGATGCCATATTATGATCCTGTGCTTAAAAACACAAAACATCCAGAGCAGGATTTCAATGAAAAGAGGCAAACTAGAAGCAGGGAATATACAAAAAAAAGGACAAAGTCACGTCTCTGTTGACTGTAAAGGTCACACAGAGCTTAATATAGGATGCTTATGTAATAGATCAAATTGCAATAGGTTAGGTGTTTGCAGGAGTCGGTAATATAAAAAAAGAATTTCAGAAGAATCTGATGTTAACTTGTCTCTTTCTAATGTTCCTACTCTGAAAGTCTGTTTTAACCTCGTAACACCCACCTCATTTGAACTAGGTCTTTCTTTGTCTGGGTGTAGTATTCAGAGTAGGACATATACAAACAGAAAAAAGGGTTAAGAGAAATATACGGCAAAAAATCTAAATCTAGATATGTCTTTTTTTTCTTAAAATAAGTGAATTTGTTCTT